AACCGCACACACTCCTTGTCCTTGAGCTTGAGTACCCAGCGTTGGAACGAGCCGGGCAGCATAGTCCTCAAAAGAAAGTAGAAGAGGAGGACTATCGACTTCCGCATGCGCCTCGGAATGAAGGTCGGCTACTCGCGAAGAAACCGGTTCCGAAGGCGTCGAGAGTGTCGTCGAGTCACTCTCGGCGGTGCTCAGTTTCCCTGTCTGCCCTTGCCTTTCAATGGGCAAGCCTGCGTCGGGTGAAGATCGCTGTTGCACCAAAGGCAATAATGGAATCTCTCGCGCGCCTTGAATGCGGACTCGGAGATGCCATACTGGGTCCATGGGCCTGTCTGAGCTGCTGCACCGAGCCCGGGGCTAGATGCGGTGTGTGTCTTCGTCCTGCCGCGTCCTCGGCCTTTGCCGGGGCGGCCACCTTCCCGGGCGGCTGCGAGTCTGACTCCTTCACTTGTTGACACAGCCTCGCTGGTTTGGTCTAACGGCGTTGCCGCTGCGACCACGGCCACTCTTGGCCGATGCTGGTCCCTGCTCGGGCCTGACGCAGATGAACGAAGGTTCTTGGCCTCCTTGTTTGTGATAATGATCTGCGCAGCCTTGTCGAACAACTCCGCCGTCGTCGTCAAGGTATCTTCGACATGCGTCAGGGCATTGCTCAATGCCGGACATGACCTTGAGATGAAGTAATGGCGGACGGCCTTGAAGCCCATCTGGATGTCTCGGACTGACGTCAAGCGTTGGTACTCGGCGATCCAGTCCGTACTCGGCAGCGTGCCTTGCTCAAAGACCATGAGCTTGTCCATGGCTTTGATCTCTGGCGGCTCCACCTGGAACCGCTTGTGCCACGCCGCCTTTAGATCATCCCAACTGAACACGGTGTGCAAGTCCGCAGCTACCACTCCGTACTTGGACAGGAGGTTGTCCAACCAGGCCTGGCACGCGCCCCCTGAGCGAGAGTACAAGTAGGCGTGGTGCTTGTGTTCCTTGACGTTGGACAACTGCAGCGTGAGCTCGAACTTGCGAAACCATGGAATAGGATCTGTCTTCGTTGAGTCGCAAAAGATCTCCTGCCCGTCGAACTTTGGAGTGGTCTCGCGCGGTTCTGTACTCGAAGTGGTGGCGGTAATGCAGATCCGCTGTTGCAATTGCTTTGTCGCGGTCTGCTGCGATTGTACGTCATCCTTGAGTGCGCCGACGTCCATCTCCAATGCATTGAGGCGGTCGGTAGTGTTGGAAGAGCCTGCGTCTGCGGCGGAGACTGGTCGCTGCTCCAACCGCTGAAGGCGGTCTTGGAGATGAGCTAGCGAGGTGTCGAGGCCAAGGATCTCCGCCTGCTGTGTAATGCAGGTGGCCAGGAGATCCGTGAGATGCGAGAGGAGGAGYGCTATCTTGTTGGCGCTGTCCTCCAACTTGCCATCCTCGGCCTCGGTYCGCCATGCCGCTGCCATGGTAAGTAACGCCCGCTCTCSWGTGAATATCTTCTCACGACGCTGTATTCTTTCTTCATCGGCAGCCCTTGCTGCTGCCTCGTCATGCTGGCGCTGTTGTTCAAGTGCCAGCAAACGTGCCTGCTCTGCATCTTCCGCCTTTTTCTTCGCTGCTGCTGCAGCGTCATCTGCCCGTTTCTTAGTCTCCGCACTCCAGGCTAGCATGCGGGTCTGATAGGCCTCGTCCGCTTCTCCGGGCCTCTGGTCCATGACTGTTGTTTGAGATCTCAACAGCATAGACCGGTCGGGGCCTGCTGATAAGGTATCCCTTGCTGCTGACGTGGCTCTGATGATGTGTCCTGCTGACGTGTCCTGCTGACGTGTCCTGCTGATGTGGCAACTCACCAATGTCGTCGCAGGGGGTACCGGGATTCAAACATAAACGGTAACGCGAGAGATAGCAACAACATAGGTGGGGAGGGGTGGGTGGGATAATCGCCCAACTCACACTTCGGTAAGGAGCCACTAATCAAAACATAAAAGTTTGAACTTTGCAAAATAATTTCGAAAAAATAAAAATCTCAATTTTTGCAAGTTCGGTAGGTCCCCCAACCTCCCTTGAAGTACGAAATGATCACTGAAAGCGAAAAAGATTTCGACTTTATACTGCAAATGATTGATATGACTGAACGACAGAATCCCCGAACTGCGAAAAAAATTCCGAACCGAAATGACAAATATTCGGATTTATTCCGATAAGGATATTCACAGTTTGAAAATAATACCGCAGGAGAGTTTTCCCGTACCGTTTTTCAGAAACACGAATTTCAGAAAAGACAATATTCTGAATTCCTAAGTATCGAGAGATATTTCCCGTACCGTTTTCAAAAAAACGAACTTCAGAAAAGACAATATTCTGAATTTCCAAGTATCGGGAAATGCAACAGGAAATCGAAACTTTCGAAAAGAAAAATATTCTGGATTTTCAACAACAAAATTTCGAATTTTTAGAAAAAGACGAAAATGAAAATTTCAGATCTTGCAATATTGCGATTTTCCTACAACAGAATAGCGAGAAAAATAAAATCCGAGAAAAAAAATTGATTTTCGGTAGTAAGGTCAAGATCGTGATTTTGGGGTCTGACTGGTATGTCCTAATCAATCGGAAAAGACTACCTAGCTCTTTAGTCCCCGCACACGTGTCAGATCAGGTAGTCCTGATTCACGTGCAAAGCTCCGATACCAACTGTTACATGCACAGATATGTGATGTTTGTAATAACCGAGGAACTGCAATGTGACGAAAAGGACTGAAATGGACAATGCGGTGAGAGTAGAATCTCGACAGACAATGTGCATTCTCATACATACAAAAGTGCTGAATAGCGCAGGGAAGACTTAGATACAAAGACTGACCTGACAAGGACCGACCTTACACACGTAGTAGCAAGTAGCGAAACAGACTGCTAGAATGTTGATAACTAGTCCAACCGATGGTTGAACTCAGACCAAACATGCATCGTACCCCTCACCAGGTGTGAAGGAGCCTGGCGCTGCACACAAGAAGAAAGCGCCAGGTCCAGACATGCATAGACGAAGAGGTAAGGATCAGACGAAAGGAGGGAGGAAGATGGGAGTGTCGTTAACACCAAGTCTTTGTCACCGATCCCAAATAACCCCTCGTTGCCATGTCTGAATCCCAAAAAATCGAGTCTTGGATCCGATATCACCAAGCTCGGTATCTCTTCTCTCACAGTCTGCAAATGCAGTGAAGTCAAGGGTTGAGAGGGAGAGAAGGAGATGGTGGACTGAGAAGAAGAGGAAGAAGAACTCTCTCTCTCTCACTGTTA